ATTAAAAAATGCAAATGATCTATTAATTCCATTAAAATTGAAACGAACAAGAAAGTTAAATTGAAAGTGAGAAAGTCTGTTTATATTTTTTGTATGTATATACATCCCCTCTTTGTTATTAATTTATTTTTCCTTTTTATCTCATATTTTAGAGATCGATCTTGGATTGGCAGTTGGTGCCAACCTATATAGATAATTACTGACTGCTTGACTTACGCGAATAAAGTGCATATATGTATATATATAATATGCAAACTGATAACAAGGCAACACATGTTAAACGTGTTGAGAAAAGTGCGTCGAGTGACTTTCCATTAAATGGTAGACAGATATCTTTTATGTTTGCGGTTAAATGCGTACTTAGGATCCTCTAGATCCCATTTGTAGGCACGCAATCTCTACATTAGATCATCCTTGTTGCCTGCGTGTTGTTAACTGGGTTAAGGAGATTTTACCTACCAGTGTAAATAGATAACATTAGATATATTATTACAAAAGTTTATTAACTTCTTCTTAAACTTCATAAAACATTGATAAGGTCATTTTATAAATATTCGGATTTTTTTGTGTATACAGAAAATACCTTAACTTTCTTTTCGACCTTGCAATGTCGTGCGTGTATATATGTAATTTTCATTTCCGTAAATTAACTTTCAACGTTATTTACTCTATATATTGTTACACTTTCATTTTAGTTTTATTGCACTTTTGACAAATGCAAATTCATTTCGAGAGGGGTTCAAGTTTATGATCATTGAATTTTTATTCAACTTGATAGTAGAATTTATAACTTTTCCTAATTTTCAAGGAGGCAGAATTTTTTTTTTTTTTAATAATGTCGAATTTTTATTCAGATTTTTCATACACGGAAAGAAAATAAATATCAAATTTTATAAAAACATTTTCTAATTTTGTAAATCACTGAAAAAAAATTTTTTTGATTAAAATAATCGATTGCTCACGTCAATTATCAAATAAATACACAGAAAATTAAAAGGCATTAAAATAAGCTGCAACGTTTATTATTTTAATCCAATTTTGCTTATTTTAATCCACTTTGGTATTAAAATAAGAAAAATTGGATTAAAATAATAAGCGTTGCAGCTTATTTTAATGCCTTTTAATTTTCTGTGTATTTACTTGAGACAAATAGTTTTTATTTGAATTAACTAAACATTATTTTATTCAATAATTTCTGTATTTGTAACAACCATTTTAATTGACGGAATTAATAATTATTTAATACAAATAAATATTTGTTTGAAAATTGAGGATTACCTATAAAAATTTTTCTAAAGTTTTAGAATTTTTTATATATGAAAATTATGGTTTTTAGTATATATTTTCCACGATTTGAAAATATTTTTTTAATTTGATATATTAGAAAATTTTTTATTTTTTTTCTCTTTCGTGCATATAGCGAAGACTTTTGCTTTATTTTATGAAAAATTTTTATTTTAAAAACTAAATAAAAATTCTACGTTAATTTCGAAGTTTTACAAATATTCCGGATATAAATATTTACGCGTATAAAATATACATAAAATTAAATATAAAAAAACATATTAATAAATGATAAAAATAATAATTATATAAGTATACTTGAAAATAAATATAAAATAAATATATAATAAATATATATAATATATAAATAAATGAAAATATATAAAATAAAGAAAAACAGTTTCTTTTGTTTTATATATATACATATTTTTTAATAGGAAGTTAATAGTTTTTCACCGAAGAAAAATATTTATCAATGCGGTGATATCTTAACCATAAAGGAATTAAATAAATTTTGTCTATATATATATATATATATATATATATATATATTTATTTATTATAAGATATATCTTGTGAATATATTAAATATATTTTTTTTTAACTTTGAAAATTATGTATGCTGTGAAATTCCACGAGATGAAATTGCGTGTTAGGATAAATAGAATTAATATAAAAAAAAAAAACAAATGTTATTTCTCACTTGCGAGAGTATCATTCCCCCCCCTTTTTTTGTATATTTAATGATTTCATGTCAAGTAATTTTGTTACATTTTATACATTTATCAGAACGGTGAGGCATGTTATGCCTATTGAGCGTGATGCCTTTACCATGATCTGTGTTGGATTATGATTTAGTTTTTTAACTTCATTAATCTTGATGTCATGCGTGAAATTTCATATTTATGCTTTTCATAAAATTATATATTCTTTCTTTTAAGATATTATATAAATAGAATTTAAAAGTTTAATGTGAATAATATTTATTTTTATATATTATTAAAATAAATAAATTAAAATTTCTAAATCTTATTTCATTATAATAAATAAATATATATATATGTTCGATGAAAAATATAACAATGAAAGAAAATGAACATAATAAGGAATTTGAAATTAGTGAAAGTAGATTCACAATGATTTGAATATAAATCCATCAGCTTTATAGTTATAAAATTTTAACTAATGATAATGAATTGAGTGCAAGGAACGTCATTATAATCAGTGCATTTAGATTTAACTCTGATATGTAGAATTTGATAAGTGGATATATCTTTCTTGCACAAGATCATCTATATAACGATTGACAGGAGAGAACTGGTTAGAATATAGTCTTATAGCAATTGCATCTATCGTGTATATATATATATAGGGCCTCATGAACGATAAGTGTTTTACGTTCCTTCACCTATTTTGTGCAATATACCAAGCTATCTTTTATTTTTTTTCTTCTTTTTCTATATATGCACTCAAAGAACAATTTTTTAAAAATTAAATAACTCCTTCGCATAAAATAAATTTTTTTTCAAATAAAAATAAAATCTCTAAGTCTGCTATTTCTTCGTCAATAATTTTTAAAAACAAGTCATTAAAAATTAAACACGTTTCTAATTATTAAAAATGTATTCATTAAAAAAATAATAGAGAGAATAATATTATTTATTAAAAAATAATAGTAGAAAAATATTTGATTTAAATAATTCAGTTACATTAAATCAAATAAAAATTATTTGCACCCAGAGAAATTTTTGTTTCAGGGTCAAATAAATATTTATTTGTTTCAAATATATTTTAATTGCTTTAAATAAAATTTTATTTATGCTAGATTAAATTTTTTTGTGCTGAATTAAATTTTTTATCTGAATCAAATAAAAATATATATTTTAGGCTCTGAGACAAATATATTTTTATTTTAATCAAATAAATGCAAATAAAATATTTTTGTTGGATGTGTTGCAAATAAATGTTTATTTAATAAAACAAGTAAATACTTTTTTCAGCAGATTTGTATATAAAGAAAATTAAAATAATTTTTTATAAGAAAATTTTTTTTCGTATTAGATGAATCAGTCAACTTATTTTTTTTTTTTTGAAAATTAAAAACAATTTTCTCTATTTTGAATTGAAAAAAAATATATAATTCTATTTAATGACGAAAATGCAAGTAGCCAATAAAAAAAAAAATGAAAGTTATGCTAATCACTATTTGCTTGAGTTATTTGAATAATTTGATTATACATCATAGTTCTAAAGATGTGTGTAGCTTTTTTTTAAAATCATTGAATCAAATCCTAAGACACTCTATGATAATAATCATAAAAATGTAAATAATAAAATTGCTAACTCCACTTTTAGCCAAACAATGCAACTTTAAACAATTTTGAGACATATATATATATTTTCAATGAGAAAAAAAAAATTGAGTTTTATGTGTCGTGTAACAACTTCCTTGAAAACATCGCCGGAAAACAATCATTTTAGCAGAAAGCATATATAAACAGAATTAGTGATGATAATTAGCAGCTATTATTAAGCTATATACAAGGTGTTAATTTTCTCATTGTTTTTAAAATATATTCTTATATATTCGCGTTGGAAATTCTTTTGTATTTTGCAAATTGAAAGAATTGAAGTAACGATATAGGAGGAAAATAGATGAAATAATGAGAGAGAATGTGAAAATGTATTAATTATAGAAGTATATAAAAAATAACATTGGGAATTTGCATTCCTTTCGAGAAATAAATTATATATTTAATCTTTTTTACATATCGGGAGCCACGATTTAGGAATATATTTTTTTTTTATAATCGTTTTATTATAGTAATGATAATAATAATAATAATTATTATTTTATAATTATATATTTATATTATTTGATATATATATTTTTCGAAAAAAAGAAGATTTCTCTTCTTAATTTGAATGGATTTGACGTAGGAATTTCTTTTCACACTCAGAAGGAAATTGAGGAGGAAATTTTTCTATCTAATATACCCTCTTAATATTATTTATTATATTAATATTAATTATCCTCTTTTTTTTGAAGTACATTTTATTCTTACAAAAGTAAGAATGAAAAAAGGGGTAGTTGTTTTCTTCTTCAATTAAAATTTGTTCACTCAGATAATGATAAATTTGTCTCAGAGCAAAATAAACTTTTTATTTGAGATAAATCGAAATTTTGTTTTCGCTAAATAAAAATTACATTTGTGCTAAATAAAATTTTATTTGTGCCAAAGAAATTTTTTTATTTAAAACAAATAAAAAGTTATTAGGCTCTGAGTCAAATATATTTTTATTTGCTTCAACTAAATTTTATTTACCTCAAATAAAATATTTCTCTGGGTGTTGTTTGGTACACTGAAAAAAAAATTTATTTGATTTAAATAATCGGTTAGAAATAAATATTTATTTGTATCAAATAATTGTTGAGCTAATTAAATGTTATTTTTTTTCTAATACAAAAATTATTGATTCAAATACAGTTTACTTAATTCAATTATTTGATTTTAAAAATTATTTGGTAAATATTTATTTGAATCAAGTAATCGATTATTTGAATCAAGTAAATTTTTTTTAAGTGCATTTGAGGCTTTTTCTAAATTCCAAAGTATACTTTGCGACATGTATTCCTTGTTGTTTATTTGCCAGGTGAAATAATTTCTAATGAAAATGTCGTCCTTGCAAAGCACGTTTATATAAAGGATTAAAATTAACGACTGTTGAGAGTCAATTGGTATACTGACTGACCAACGAAAGTGTACCGTTTCAAGCTCATTTTCATGCCCAGACAAACTCAGAATGAACCGTGAGTTCTCCAGGTGAAGAGCAAGTGCTCTTGTCGCGTTTCTATATTGGTGGGGATCGCACCATAAGTAAGAGACGGCCTTAAGAAAAACCTTCATTCTGATAGCAGACCGCGTGGTGAACGAATTTATATTTAAAAAAAAAACGTGGTTAGTGGGGTGGTGTTCATATTTTCTATTTTCATAAAAAAAATTTTTTTTTTTTTTAAATTCAATCGCCTCAAGAAATTTCAAAAGGGATGATCAGTTCATAAAGGAGATTTAAAAAACGAATTTTGTGATATTGGAAACAAATGAACGACATTTGGATTTATCCGTGTTAAGTGGTGGATTATTATTATTATTATTCTACGGAAAAAATAAAAAAATGAAAGGATTCACCTTCAGGTGAAAACCTTGAAGGTGCCTGAGGAGGATCTTTTACTATCAAAGATCTGTAATTTCAAAAAAAAGAAAAAAAAAATTGAAGTGAAGAACATTTCTCTGGTGGAATAATAATCTTTACTTATATACGAGTCTACTTAGAGTTAAAGAGGTAGGCAGGATGAAAAAAAAAAGTTTATACTTAATTTTCGTCATTTTAGTAATTTTATTGTTAGTGTATGGTGAAACTCTCAATGACCGTGCAATTTACGTATATAAGCGCGCACGAGTCTCGCGAATGTTTTTATCTTTTAGTTTTCTTGGGGGGTAGTCGTTACTCGTGCGTGTAACAACTTACTTAATTGGTTTCGAAACAGGTAATCGCGAGAGGGACCGACAAAGGGCGTTTTGAGCGCGCGAGTGTTTAAAAAAAAAAATTTATCTCAATATAAAAATTTTGGTAACAATTAAACATTTTTCTGATTGACAAAAAAGAATTCCCTATTTTTCAAATTATAATATGAAATAAAATTTTATTGTCTCATTCACAATTATATTACAATATTATAAAGTAGTTTGCATTTAGAAAAATGGATCCCTAAATTTTTATCTATATTTAAAAAATTAAAAATTAAATTAAAAAATATTTAAAAAATTTAATTAAAAATATATTTTGCTTATTAGTTTGAATAAATGTTTCAAATAATTAGGACCAATAAATTAAAATTAACAATTTAATTTTTTATTAATCAGTGATAATTGTATATTAATTATTTTTTTTTGAAAGCATAAAAATGAAAAAACTATGATAGAAAAATGAAATATATTTTGTAAACATTGTGAAAGTTATGTTTTGCAAAACGATGATTTTTTTTATGTGTCTGGTAATAACTTCCATAATGGACTATAAAATATTTGTGATAAAAAATAAATTGCAGTTAAATATAGAAATAATAACGATTAATTATAATTATTTGTGAGTAAAAAAAAAAAATTTACATATTAGAGATAGAGAGATTAAATCGTGATTAGACTCCTTATTTTTAATTAAAAACTTTTCTGAAATTACGCATATTTTGTAATTTAGATGATTTAGAATATTGTACGCGTAGAAAAATTGAAATTTACTGCATAGTGGAATATGATTATTCTTTATAGTAATGACTTTTTCTATATTTATTTATAGAAAATGTGTTTATTATATATTAAATTCATTTAATAGAATATTTATAAAGTTATTTTTCGTGAAATTTAATAATTTTTTTGAAAAAAAAAGTATACATGCGAAAGGAAGTCAAGTTTTAATTAATAATTTCAAAGAAATCTATTAAAATTTCCTGTAGTGTGTAAACTTTTTTTTACTCATTTTTACGTATATGATTATTAATTTAAATTAATTAGGTATTTATAAAACCGTTCTTATTAAACTAATTATAAAATATTTTTATAAAAAAATTATAACAACTATTTTAATATTATTTTATTTTGCAATTTGCGGCTGTTTTTCGTTTTTTCTAATTATTCATCTATTTTATCTAATTAATTAGTTTTAAAAGATTAAATAATTAAAATTTATTGCATTAATTTTTGCTGAGGAACTTAATTTTTTTTTTGAACTTTATAAATTTGAATTAGTAACATTTTTTATAAATAACTAAATATTTATATTATACAATAATGAAATTTTCATTATTCCAATTATTCATATAATTTATCTAATTAATTAGTTTAAAAAAATTAAGTAAATTTAATTTAATTTTAAATAAAAATATTGTTTAAATTTTTGTGTAAATTTGAATTAGTAACATTTTGTAAATATAACTAAATATTTGTATTATACGATGAAATTTTCGTTTTTTTTATTATTTATCTAATTAATTACTTATACTGAAAAAAAAATTATTTGATTCAAATAATTGATTTTACTTGACTATTATTAAATAAATATTTATATTTGTATTAAATAATTATTATTTGAGATGATATTTTTTTCAAATACAGAAATTATTGGTTCAAATACAATTTATTTAATTAATTATTAAATATTTATTAAATTAAAAAATTATTTCGTTCAAGTAAAGATTTATTTAATAATAGTCAAGTAATCGAGTATTTGAATTAAATAATTAATTTTTAATGTGTATTAATTTTTAATCTGAGGAACTAAAACTTTTTTAATGATTTTCTATATAAAGAATTAGTAAAATTTTTATAAATACAATGAAATAAAGATTATAATTTGAAAAATAGGAAAAAATAATGGATATAACTAAAAATAAATAAAATTGATAACCAAAGCAATTTGCCTAAAGGAGTATATTTCATAAAGGGGCAATATTTCATTTGTAGAAAACTATTAATTCATATTTAGAGAGTAACGTGTTAAAGATTAAATGTAGATGAATATAAACTTGATGATTGTATATACGTATAAACGTATATAATTGATGATGATTATAATTATATAGTGACAAGTTTGAATAGATGTTCTTCTTTTTGGTATTTGAAGCTTGAATTATATTTTTTTTCGTGAGATTGATACAGCTTTTGCGCCTGACATAGTATATATATAGCAAAGTTGGCTATAGGAATGCTGTTTTGTGTGATCTATTAAATGATTAATCATCCTTGAATGAACATGGAAAGTCTACAAAGTAAAGATTATAGACTTCTTGTCTAATTCCGAGCAAAATTATTATGACATTATCTGTCAAGTTGTCGCACACACACTGTTCGATATGTCCTATATAAATTTCTCGCGAGTGCACTTTAAAAGCCCCACAAGGACAGAACTTCCTTGTCGAGTATACGACAACGACGACACAATGTCGTGCAGTTATATTCTGACACTGTATATACTCTTGAACGCATCTTGCAAGTTGTATATATATATATATATACAAATATCTCGAGTACTGCTTGTTACCTTTTGTACCACATTCACTTCCGCACTATTCCACGGAATCTTTAATGCTTCATCTACACGAAACACACGATAATTTCACTATAATAAAGTCCTTTTTCCGCTCTTGAAGCTCGAACTTTTACTTGTCCTTTTATTTTACTCTGCTCATTGCATTTCCTTTATTAGATTCTTAACTTGAAAAAAAAGGTTAAAATAAAAGTATAAACAAAGCTTCCTACGAGGGAGGAAACCGCATGCAATATATATATTATATAAATAGAAAGATCCAAATTGAATAAATTTGATCGAGTACAAAAAATAGAAGAAAAGTAAATAAAAATTTCATTTAAATTTTTAATTTCCATTAATAATATTTTTTTAAATTATTTTATTAAATACCATTTCACTATTTTTTATAAAATATATTATTTGGTTAATAAGAAAACTGTTTTTTCGTATCGATTTTTGGCAATTAAAGATCTCGATAGAAACACAGAAAATTAAAAGGCATTAAAATAAGCTGCAACGCTTCTTATTTTAATCCAATTTTACTTATTTTAATCCATTTTGATATTAAAATAAGCAAAATTGGATTAAAATCAGAAGCGTTGCAGCTTATTTTAATGCCTTTTAATTTTCTGTGAAACAATCACCCAGAAAAATGTTTTATTTAAACCAAATATATTATATTTGAGTTAAATAAACTTATATTTGTCTCCAATTTATTTGGCGTAAATAAAAATTTTTTTGAGCCAAAGAAAAATTTATTTATGACAAAAATATAATTTTTATTTACGCCAAATAAATTGGAGACAAATATAAGTTTATTTAACTCAAATATAATATATTTGGTTCAAATTTATTTGGCGTAAATAAAAATTTTTTTGGGCCAAAGAAAAATTTATTTATGACAAAAATATAATTTTTATTTACGCCAAATAAATTAGTGACAAATATAAGTTTATTTAGTTCAAATATAATATATTTGGTTCAAATTTATTTGGCGTAAATAAAAATTTTTTTGGGCCAAAGAAAAATTTATTTATGACAAAAATATAATTTTTATTTATACGCCAAATAAATGGGCTGATGCAAATAATACGTTTATTTAATTCACACTGAAAAAAAATTTATTTGATTCAAATAATCGGTTATACTTGACTATTATTAAATAAATATTTACTTGAACCAAATAATTTTTATTTGAATCAAATAAACTGTATTTGAACTAATAATTTATGTATTTTGAAACAAATACCATTTAATTGAATAAAATATTAATTATTTGGTTTAAGTAAATAATTATTTTGGTCCAAGTAAATATTTGATAATAGTCAAGTAACTGATTATTTGAATTAAATGAATTTTTTTCCAGTACAAATATATTTTATTTGGTTCAAATAAATCATTTTCTCTGGATGTATTTATTGAATTAAACTTGAAAATAAAATTAAATATTTTTAAATACAGAATATTGGTTATAATAATATGATTATAAAAAGACAATGACTTCTTTTTCATATATAAGTTAAAAGCAAACGATAAAATATACCGCTACTGTTAAAGTGTAGAGACTAGAATTTTTTGAAACCCAAAAACCTAGTGTACTGTATTCAGAACCGGAATTCCTATTCTGTTTGATAGCTTCTTCTTCTTCTTCTACTTCTACTTCTCGAGTTTAAATTTGTGTCCGTACGTGAATACACTTGGTCACGTGTTATATATTCACTATACTTATATATACTGTTATACATATTCTTCAGTAGCGAGTCTATTTTTTTTACGATTATACGTCAAGATTGCGTTGCCGTGAGAAAAATTCATCCGCAACATACTGATTTAAGAATTTCTGATGAAAAAAATGCGGAAGTAACAGGATTATATCTCGTATAGCACTTCCATGCGCGAGACAATTCGAGTACACATATATATATATGAGCAATCAGTTGAAATCCAAATATTTTTCTATCTCGATGGAAAAAAAAATTGTAAAAATTAATCTTAATATAGAAAAATTTTTGTTTAAAAATATTTTTATTTTTCTTATTAAAAAAAAAGATATTTTTTCCAAAAAAAAAAATTTCAATAAAATTGCGTGAAATATCTCTATATAGAAAAATTTCAAAGAATTTTCGGCAAAAAAAAAATTGCATATATTTTCTTCTTAATTTTTTATTGCAATATTCTCTCAAAGTTTATATATTTTGTAATTTCTAATTCTATTCTTCTCATTGTCAGTATATAAATAGAATCACTTGTGATTTGTG